CTAGGCGACCCAGTTCTCCTTTTCATCAAGGATCTCCCCAAGCCTGGCTGGCCTGGGCCACGCTCAGCAGGGAAAACTAAGTCAGGTCAACCTGATTCTAGATGCTGCACCAATTAGAGAAACCAAGATGGGTCACGAGTCTGGAAGACTGGTAAAGGTGCCGGTATGGACTCCAGGCCCACTCTGCCCGGGTTCGAATCCGGGTTCTGCCACTCAGCCTGACCTGAAGCCACTCACTTGACACCCTGCCTGTTTTCCCATCTGTAAAATGGGAACAGTAACAGCACCTCCCTCTTAGAGTTGTTCTAAGGAGACGTGAGTTACCCTAACAATAAAGTACTTAGTGCCTTTTCAGCAAGTAACAGAAGATAGTACTACTCGCCTCTCTAACCCTGGCTGACCCCCAAGAATTCTGAGGTAGAGATACTGAGGTTCTTGGCCAGAATATAGCTCTCTTATTGACACCAACCCAGAGGTTAAGCCCTTAAATAACAGTTTTGTAGTTCATGTCCGTGGACCTTAGATTCTCGCCTAGAACCATTAGCTAAGACATGGGTTGCTTCTGCTTAACCTGCACAAGGAAGTCAGACTTTTCTGCTTTCAAATCATTTGCATTGTGTAGACTCACCTCGCTCACATCCTCTACCCCCTACAAAGAGTTCTCTCCCCCAGAACCCACAGCCTCCACAAGAGGTGTCCACACACCCATGAGAGGGTGGTCAGAAGCCAGCTTTCCAAACAAATGAACCTTCATTTCATCCGCTAAGAATATCCAGCCAATCGGATTGGGTTTCAATGTTCTCGTCCCCCTCCATCTCTCTCAAGCACCAGAAAACTTTTTTGAACTCCTGGAAGTCCTTCCAGTAGGGCTAAGCAATGTTGACTTGTGTCTTGGCTAAGTTATAACAGCAGCAGCTGATACCAATTCAGCGTTACTCTGGGCCAGGAACGTACCAACCACTCACAACACCAACCTCATAATGAAGGAGGTATTGTTATCCCCATTTAACAGGATAAAGAACCTGAGGCCCAAAGAAGGGAAGCCACTTGCGCAAAGCCATGGGGCGTCTAAGTGGAAGAGCACGAACTTGAACCCAAACTTCTCTCCATTCCAAAATCCCAAGGCGAGCGCAGACAAAGGAATTTCTAGGAGGACGGCAAGGACTGTAGTCAAGGAACCGCATTACCACATGC